TGTGTGTGTGTGTGTGTGTGTGTGTGTGTATGTGTATGTGTGCGCGCGCGCGCGCTTTCTTGTGTTGTTCTGCTCCTGTCCTGCAACAGAATGTAATCCCCCTTTTAGTATAGAGAATGTTTTGCTTTTTTATGTGTCTGTCCCTACCCTGAGGACTGTGACTTGCAGGTTTGCCTAGTGAGAGTGTGTGTTCCATCTTGGTTTGGATGTTTTTGATCATTTGTGTGGTTCACAGTGTTTTCTTGCTAAGAGAGTCAGTGTGGTATAATGGGTAGAGGGGTGGGCTTGGAGTCAGGAAGACCTAGGTTCAGGTCCTGCTTCTCATGCTTTACTAGCTGAGGAACTGTGCACTAGGCAGACACTTTACCACTCAGTGTCCCGTTCTCTGAACTACAAGTTAACAGACACATTGCCTTGGAGCTGCATTAATGTAGGGGAAAAAAATAATTAGAGTAAAATTCAAAGGCATATTAGGGGGAAAGTCTGAAAGGGGAAACTTTCTCTGTTTCCCTCTTTAAATTGCATTAATTTGTTTATCAAGCACTTTTATACTTTATATTTATTACCATGTGTCTTTTCCTTTTTCCTAAGATTTACTGTGAATGAATATTCTGTGGCTTTGTATTTTCATTGTTTACTGAATAGCATTCGAGTCTCCTTGGTTCATTTTTTTTTTTTTTTTTTTTGTGAGGCCAGTTGGGGTTAAGTGACTTGCCAAGGGCCACACAGCTAGTAAGTGTCAAGTGTCTGAGGCCAGATTAGAATTCAGGTCTTTCTGCCTCCAAGACCAGAATGCTATCCACTGTGCAACCTAGCTGCCCCTTTGGTTCATATTTTAAAAAAGGGTATTTATTAAGGACCTTAGTATTGAATGAGAAAATGCCTCATTTCTTTACCCTAGCCCCAAAAGAATTTCAATTTTTAAAGTCATGTCCTCTGCAGAAATGCTACAAGATAGAAGTACTAAGGATTACATTGACCAACCAGCTAATTTAAACACTTGGTTAAGGTGTCTTGAACTACCATTATGAACAGGGAGCTCTTCCCGTAAGCCTCCCAGAAGAGGCAGGTATCCATGAAAGAAGTGTGGCTTTTGTTCCTAATTGAGGCCAACACAAGTTACTGTAATGATATGTGACAGAGCATCGATAGCTCCTTGCAGCAGTGTTCTCTGTGCCCATGTTAGGTCTATGACTCTTTTTATTTCTTGACATACTTACACCCTTTGAAAAATACTGTTTTCTGACCAGGCATAACAACAACACAGGACGGTGGTTGACCAGGTTCAGAGCTGTGTGGGATCCAAAGCAAGAAGACTGCTTTATTGTTGGCAGCATGGCTCATCCAAGAAGCATAGATGTGTTCCATGAGAGCGGAGAGCTGGTGCACTCTTTTATCCGTGAAGAGTGCCTTGCCTCTGTTTGTTCCATCAACGTCACGCACCCAACTCAGAATATTTTGGCTGGGGGGAATTCTAGTGGGAGAATCCATGTTTTTAAGGGTTAAAAAAAAGTTGCCAAGGTTTTGCTTTGACTAGATTGGATTATTTTGATTTAGGTAATGCCCAAGGGGCATTGATTTCTAGTCTTATAACACAGTAAGTTGCTTTGTAAATGTGATAATGCCAAAATGAGCAGTATGCACTTTCATTTTTTGGGAGAAGCAATAGAAATCTTGAGTTTTTTTTCCCTGAAAGTTGAGGGTGAGGATTTAGGGGGCTGATTTATGTACGTTTTATATAGACATGTTCTGAGGTACTAAGATGTTTTGAATAACCAGTATTAAAGTTTTTGTGACCTCATTGAGACTTAGTCTTAAGTCTTTAGATTTGCAATTTCCAAACTTATTTCTAGACTCATGCTGGAAGAGACCTTGAAAAATCATCTAGTCTTCTAATCAGAATTATTCTAGAGGAGGTATTACATGTCATTCCAGATACATAAGATCTGTTCCTTTATTTAATACCTCCAGTCTTTTAAAATAACCACTCTTAGGGGCAGCTAGGGGACGCAGTGAATAGAGCACCGGCCCTGGAGTCAGGAGGACCTGAGTTCAAATCCGGCTTCAGACACTTAACACTTACTAGCTGTGAGACCCTGGGCAAGTCACTTAACCCCATTGTCTAGCCAAAAACAAAACAAACAAAAAAAATAACCACTCTGAATCTGGGTGGGTTGGAGTTATTTCAGATTATGTACCTCTTAGGCTATTTGTTTATTTGTGCTGTTTAAATTTTTTCTTTCTTTTTTTTTTTTAAGTGAGGCAGTCAGGGTTAAGTGACTTGCCCAAAGTCACACAGCTAGTAAGTTTCAGGTGTTTGGTCTGAGTCCGGATTTGAACTCAGGTCTTCCTGACTCCGGGGCCAGTGCTCTATCCACTGTACCACCTAGCTGCCCCTCTGTTTAAATTTTTTAAAAAAGTGGTACTTTGTATTTTTACATCATTTACGTTTCCTGTTTTCCTCTCCTCCAAAGTGTCTTCTCTTTATAACAGAGACTGAAAAACAAAGACCCACAGAAAAAGTCTGATAGATGCAGAGCTGAAACAAAGGTGGGGGGAAATTCTGGCATTTATTTATTTTTGCTTTTTGGTGAGGCAGTCTGGGTTTAGGTGACTTGCCCAGGGTCACATAGCTAGTAAGTGTCAAGTGACTGAGGCTGGATTTGAAGTCAGATCCTCCTGACTCCAAGACCAGATCTCTATTTGCTGTGCCACTTAGCTGCCCTTGGTATTTATTTTTGTTGGAGTTTCTCTTTTTGGAACCTGTTGGAATATAAGTTAGGCTGAGTAGTTGCTGGTCTAGATTCCTTTCTGGTGGCTAGATTGGTGTCCATTCTTACTGTGGGATTTATACAGCTTTATACAAACAAGTCTCCTTCCTGTTTTTGCTGTTCTATTTGAGATTTGATTGTTTACCTCTGTCTTCCTTCCTCATTCAGTGGTGTCCTGGTCTTGTCTGTGGTTACCTTTAAAAATACCTAAGAATCCAGTGGAAAGTTAAGTATAGTTATGGCATTCCTGGGTGCCATGAATATATCAGATCCTTGTCTTAGTTCTTTGCAGAAAGGCCCAAATCAAACTGATGAACAGTAGCCTACGAACGTACACGTGTGTGTGTACCTCAGTTTTAATTGCTAGGTGTCTGTCTTTTCCCATAGTCCTTCCCAAATGGAACAGTACATCCCCTTATGTCCCAGCTGCTGTATGTAAGCCTTAAAACACCATAAGCAGGGCCATCAAAGGAATGCTAGGTTGTCAGTATGTTTCATAGGATTTAGGCCTTGAAAGGGCCTTAGAAATCATCTGATCTGATCTCATCTTTATCAAGATGAAGAAATGGGGTTCAAGAAAGTTGATTTGCCCCTGGGGCGTAACAGGTAATAAGTAGTACAGCTGGAATTTGAATTGACTTTAACTTTGGGGATCTCTTTTAACTACCCCTCCTTGGAGTTATTCATCTGAAACCCAGGAACCACAACCGTCATCTCAAAATGCTTCTAAGCACTTGAGGTCTTCACTGGATTCTAGGTGGAATGACATTTTTTACTCTCCTGTTTACAGGGTTGGTCCATTCCCTGTGCTTTTTATCATTCTCCAGTCACTGCTGGAAGCAATGGGGAGGAAGAGAGAAGGTATTTCCTTCATTCATATAAAACCAGGTGTCAGAGTAAGGTGCCCTCTCTCCTAAGTTCTAGCAACTGTCACCAGGCAGGGCCATAAGGTAAGCTATAGTTTGAGGAAGGGGATTTACAGTACTTCTCTTTCACTAGAACGTGTTAGGCGTGAAGTTCCACTTACAAGATAAATGATTTTTGACTACATTGTTAACAGACTTGCTGGAATTAAAAAAAAAAGACACAAGAAAAAAACAAACTCATTCATTTTTCATGATATTTAAATATTTATTTAATTTAAAAAATAGTCTTCATGGCACCAATGATTTTGTGATAACTACATACTACAGATGTAGAAAAAGGTACATCAATTGAAGGAAAATGTAACTTTGAAGATTTGGCACATGAAAGGTTAACATCTATTTTTATGAAACTAAGAAATTCACATTTGTTGTAGTTTAACCTTCTATTGCTTAAAGACACAGTACACTATTCTTTAATAAGAGTTTTGTTTCCTCTGATGGACAAAGCTCTGGAAACCAATGCTTTTCCTATAATGAGATAAAACTAATTGGAAGAGGAAATTGGGACCTTGTGGAACACATAATAAAACTGAGTTAAAAACACAACCAATTACTAAGGTGTGGGAGAAACACCATATGACATAAGTGAATGACAAAGGAGGTTTGTTATTCAGTCTATTTCAAAAGTAAATCTAAGGAAAAAATTCTGTCCATAGTTTTTGGGTTAAACTCTTCTTTTAAAAAAAAAAACAAAACAGTTCAATGGACAAAATCTCACAATTGGAAGTGGTGTAGCACTATTGTACCATTAGGACTCTAGACACAAGGAACACATTAGAAAATGAAATACTGCATCTTTAATGTGTAATGAAAACGGTCTGGTTTGAGACTATCACTTGCTGCATAGAAACACCATGTTACTACAGGCTGAGGTAGGAACACTACACTAAAAGTTAATTGTCTAAGTTGCATAAGACAGTAGATATCCATGTTAAAACCAGCCCCCTAGCTCCTGGCAGCCTCTTCTCACATTGTCTACCTTTCATTTGTAGTCCTATGCTAAAAAGCCTTCTTACAAATGGCAGCAACTCTTATGTGAAACCAAACTTGTATTCAGTGACCTCTATTTTCTCCCATCATTCTTGGTCTGTTTGCCACCCTGTCCAGAGGTCACTGCTAAAAAGGGTGTTGCTGGCAGGAAGGCTCTAGGACAATCTATTCTACCAGATCATCCTGTTCTTTCAGGGTTCAGACATCTTTAGTCTAGCATGGGGTGTGGTCACCACATAGCATGAGGTTTCCAAAGGGAAATGGTCACAGGTATCTTAATATCTCCTGCTCCTAGCATATAATTGGGTCTGCCAACAATAGCAGGAGAAGATTTTTAATGTTATAGATGAAAAAGCATCTTTCATAAAAACAATAAAATGGTATTTAAAAAAGCTTGTGCAACAGCCTTGATTTCTATTAAAATCATGGATCCAATTTCATCATTTCATTTGCTGTTTGTTCGCTGGTTTGTCTGAGTATGCAGCTAATGAGGGAAGATCTAGCTTGAAAACTGCTCATTCTGCTCCCCCTCTAGGGGTAGAAGCAGCTGCCATCTAAAATTTGTCTCAGGAACACAGCCACCAAGAGTCTTCCGTAATAAGGTTTGTTAGGCCCCATGTAACTTAGAAATCTCTCCCTGAGATGAAAGCAAGATCTTGTGCCTTTCTGAGCGTATGCCTTCCCTGCGTGTCTTAGGCAGGTGTTGTTGAGGCTTCCCTCAGTGAGGACGGTGGGCCTTCATTTTCCTGATGAAGAGGATGGCCCTAAAAGGCTGAATTCCAGTATTGACTCCACACTTTTAGTCCAGTTCTTTTACCTTCTAGACTTAGAAATTCCCCTTGACTGATTCTTCTGGCCTCCTCCATGGATACTGATGTTGGAATTCTGTTTTTCTGGAAGCTTTTCATCCTCAGGATCGATTTCTTCCTTGAACCATTTTGTAATCAGATTCTATTTGCTCACTCCACAAAGTAAAAAAAAAAAAGGTGATTAACAAAAAGGCATTTGGTTCTTAAATTATACATTGTGAAAGTGTCCTTTTTGGGTGGGTACAAAATATGTACCACTGAATCAAAGGTCTTTCAGATAACTAAACTATGATTGCTGCTACCTTTGCTTTTGCCTGAAATTCCTGAATGGGCAATCCATGGCCAGTACTTCATTTGCCTTAGTACTTTAATACCTCTGGACCAATGAAAAAAGGATTGAAGCTTGGGGGAAAAAATCCGCAGATGACTGAATTCATGTAACAGATACACTCTGGTGTGCACCAGGCTCTAGTCTAAGGGAACAGACTTACCCTACCCCTGCTGCTGCTGCTGCTGCTGCTGTTTCGGTGGCCCCTTCAGATGCCCACACTCTGCTCAGATTTGAAAAAAAAGAAAAGGAAAAAAAATAAATCCAACTCAGACCAATTGCTAAAGGGGTTGGTTATGTGAACCAGCTTTCCAATCTATTCAAAGCAGATGTCTGTTAGTGAAAAAGTTGTGTCTGGGAAGGGAGCCTGAGCAAATCCCCTTTTTAGAAACTGCTTCACCCCAAACACGTTCCTCTGAGGCTGCCGTGGCCAGTCCGCTAGCACTCGGTAGCACCATTACAAAGGCTCCTGCAGAATACAACAGTGCTCGTCCTTAACTAGTGTCCCATCTGCCAGGTGACACTAATGGAATAATCATTAGTTATAATAAAATAAATTCTTTTATTTGATGCTTTCAAAATAATACACATCTATGAAAATCAAAATTCAAAACCAGAAATTATCCTGCAAATTGGAAAGATGAAAAACAGAACCGCAGAGTCTTTCTTGAAAGAACTTCAGAAGAAAATGAGTTTCCCCGGTTTATTTAGGCAGGACTCAAGCCTATCCCTTTCTTCTCCCAGGAAACAACCCTCCTAGGCTGCAGTGTACTTGGAGTCATGAGAGGAGGACTTATATGTGCCGATGGTTCCGCGATGGGTCCCATTGCTGGGAACGAGTAGCAGGTATCTCCTCGGTCCACCTGGCTAGTTAATGGGAGGAGTCATACCTTCTCAGGTGTCAATGAGCAGGCTCACGACCGAGCGGATTTTGCAGGCAAACCATCGCCTGAGGGGATAAAAGTATTGATAATGGAACTGTTCAAATTCAGGGGTCTGGCGGATATCACGGAAAAAGGCAATGTCAAGGTCAGACTCAGTAAGGATGATCAGGAGGAGAAGCAAAACAAAGAGGAGTCCCACAGTCACAAGGAGCAAACGGAGGACACTTAAAACAAACTTATTCACCTGTTCTGCTTCTGGCCTGTTGTGGCCTGGACACAGGGCCTTCAGCTCGCCCCCTAGTGCCTCCACTTCTGCTGCGGTTGGGGTGGTGGCTTCTGATTCCTTCTCCTCTTCGATGCTGCAAGGGGCCCCATTGATCTGCCTTGAGAGCAGCATCAGCTCCAGGCTGTGCTCTGCCACGGGTGTGGGCAGCACACTGTCTGCCGGGCTGTAGGCCTCATCTGCTATCACTGCCACCCGCTCGCTACTGTCGGCCCGGCCGCTCCGCACGTGAGGCAGGAAGGTGTCGCTATGGGAGGTGGATCGAACTGGGGTTGAGTGAGCGCTGTCCCGAAGGGATTCCAGACCTAGGAGCAAGAAGAACATATAAACATGTGTGCTTCACGAGAGGCATCTTTGGCTAGCGGTTTAAAATGGGATCCAATTTTGTGCTTTGTTATAGGTCCTTGGACATAGTGATCCACATGGGGAAGAAGACCTGAGAACATCAGCTTATTTAGAGGAGATGCGAAAGAATTCTTTTCACTCCAAAGGGACCAACTTCAGTAATCACAGCTAGTCTACTTCATTCTTTACCTCTGGTTCTAGATTTAGTTAATTAATGGTCATTCCATTGCAGTGCCAAACCCAGGATATCTTGACCACCAGGGATTTCCTGAACTGCCTTGTCATCTTCCTTGGTGCACTGGGAATTGAAGGCAGGAAGGTATTCATACCTTAGACTGTGGTTTTGGGGACTAGGGTTGGAAAAGGATGTATTGCATATAGAAGTGACTTCCACAAAACACCTACTCAAAGTTCCTCTGAGTGCAGACCTGAAAGAATGCCTTGTCACTAATAAATGTAATAATGATAGCTCACAGTTCTCTAATGCTTAAAGCTTTAGTACGTACTTTCTTCCACAACATTCCTGCAAAGCCATACCCTACCTGCAGTGGCCCATTCTGGGCTAACACCCTAACTTGAACTTACAGGTTGGGTCTCTTGTTAAGATAACCACTCTAGGCTCAAGGATTTGTGGGTATGTAGTCTTAAAACTATGGCGTATGAGCCCCTATCAATGTGTTTTGCTTGTTTTGAGCCAGCCAAAGGATACAATCAGCTCAAAGCAAAGGCATTCATTGAAATAGCATACTCAGGACAGTAGCAGCAAGAGTTCTCCATGCAATCTGAAGCACAGTTTCTTATCAATACCCTGTTAATGGGACATTCGTGGACCCCTACTGTTCTACAGTACTTCCTCCTTTACAGATAAGGAAACTTAGAGAGTGGTTGCCAGACCAAAAAAATCAGTTCACTACTCCCTGATGTAATGAGGTTTCTATTGCTTTGAGCCCTTTTAAAGGTGCAAGTTCTGTATATCCCTCTCTCCTCATTCCTTATGGCACAAGGGTACAGGATCTGTTCATGAGCCTTGACATTTTATTGGGAGAGCCTTGGTAAGTACTCAGGCTATTAGCAGGGAATCATTGGTTTCAAAGCTCCTGCTACTATTAAGGATATACCGGACAAATCCATGGACAGACGCAAATACTAAGTATTCTGGAATAGCTCCTACATCTGCTCATTTGTTCAATCAATCAAAAATAAACATTGAGTGCCTGCTATATGCCACTCATTGTGCTGTGTGCTAGGGATATAAAAAGAAGCAAAAAACCCATCTCTGTTCTCAAGAACTTAATCTAATAGGAGAGACGATGTGCAAACAAATCTATACAAAGCAAGCTATATACAGGAAAACAATAGGGAAGGCACTAGAATAGAGAGGGGTTAGAGGAAAACTTCCTGTAGGAGGGGGTATTTTAGTTGGGGCTTAAGGGAAGCTGTAGTGGAGGAAGGAGAGCGTTCCAGGCTTGAAGGACAGCCAGAGAAAATAGAGCCATGAGATGGAATGTCTTATTCATGGTACAGCTAGGAAGCCAATGTCACTGGCTCAAAGAGTACATGTTGGTAAGTAAAAGGTAAGAAAACTGGAAAGGTAGAAGGGGGCATAGGTAGTGAGGACATTCAGATAGACAGTAGAAGTAGACTTTTTTCCCCCATTTCCCAAGAAAGATGTCCTCAGCTGAACCCCGAGGCCCTGAGCCCACCTTGTCCATTTCTTTTACCAGGAAATGGGACATGTGATCTGCTGTTCTTTCCCAATCCCTCTAATTCAATACATGTGAATTAAACAGTATTGAGCACTGTTATGGACATGTAAAAAGATAAGATAATCTTTGCTCCATCCATATTATTCCTGTGACTCCACTTCCTTCCCATTTTCCCCTCTAACTGTACAGCCTGGCTTCCAAAATGGCACTCTCCAAAGTTACCAAAGATCTCCTGATGGACAAATCTAATGGCTCAGTCCTCATCCTTCTCGATACTCTCTTCTCTGGGTTTCTGTGAAACTACTCTTGGTTCCTCATTCTCCCTTGCTGGGTCATCACTGAGGTATGCCCACTAATCATGGCTGTTCCCCTCTATTCTAGGCCCTCTTCTCCCTCTAGACTGTATCACTTGGTGATTTTATCAGCCCCTATGGATTCAATGATCATTTTTATGTTTATGATTTCCAAATCTTATCCACCCCCAGTCTCTTTGCTGACCTCCAGTTTTGCATCTCCCAGTGCCTATTGGACACCTCAAAGCAGATGTCCTGTAGAGGTCTTAAATTCAACACGTCCAAAACTGGATTTATTATCTTTTCCCAAAAACCTTCCACTCTTCCCAACTTCCCTATTACTGTTGAGGGCATCACCAAACTCAATTTGTTACCAAGGCCTGTATATTTTACCTTTGTAACATCTCTATAATATGCCCCCTTCTTTCCTCTGATACTGTCACCACCCAGGTTCAAGGCCTCATCTCATGCATAGATCATTGTAATAGCCTGTTAATGGGTCTGCCTGCCTCAAGTCTCTGCCCACTCCGGTCCATCTGCCATTTGGCCACCAGTGAACTCCAGTGGCTTCCTACTGTTTCCAGGATCAAATGAAAAGTTCTGTTTGGCATTAAAAGCCCTTCATGACCCCGCCCCCTCATGGGGTCTTCTTATACCTGACCCACTCTGTGACCTAGTGACATAGGCCTTCTGGTGCTTCCCTGCATCAGGCTCTCATTTTCTGATTCTGGGCATTTTCACTGACTGTCCCCATGCCTTTAATTCTCTCTCTCTTCATCACCTTCTCTGGTTTCCTTCAAGTCCCAACTAAAATCTCATGTTTTATAAGAAGCCTTTCCTGATCCCTTTTAATTCCAGTGCCTTCCCTCTTGATTCTTTCAAATTTAATCTGTATAGAGCTTGTTTGTACATTATTGTTTGCATGTTATATCCACCATTAGACCGAGCTCCTTGAAGCCAGTGACTGTTTTTGCTTTTATTTATCTCCCCAGTACTTAAGCGTAGTGTATGGCGTAGAATGGTCCTTAAGGACAAAGTCATGTGGACCAATAAAAGTGAAAAGTAAATGCCATTCTTGGGGACTACTGTAGGTCTAGACACAGGTTTGGATACATTTCAGGTTGAGCCCTGATGGGACTATCGATAAAACAGTCTGATCTGTCAGGATGATGCCCTAGACCTGGATCCAGCAGCTAGCTATGGTGGAGAAGGGAAGTGACCCAGATTCCACCCTCATTTTACCAGCGACAGCTAAGTCTTGAATCCTTGGGGTGTTGCCCTGGCTAGCGGGGAAGGGTCCAGGCAAAGACTCCATCTAAGAAGCTCAAGTGCAAAATCGGAAGCCAAGAGTGTGGCCAGTATGGGCCACAGGGTCATGAAGGGTCAGACGCGACTGAACAAGAACAATAAGAACCCCACCACCTACCCTGCCTATCTCACAGGGTTGTAAAGATGAAAGAGGGGAAAGATGTGGAAGTGCTTCAAAAGCTATTAGTGGCTCTCGAATTTTATTGGTCCATAGGTCTTTTTTCCTTCAGGACAAGCTTTTTATTCATCGGTTGGATTGAGAAGTGGCTGTGTATATATAGCCACACGAGGAGCTGGTGTGAATGGCTTAGCTGAGTCCTAGAAGACTGCTCCTGAAAGCTCTTGCTTGGTCGCCCAGGTTCCAGGGAGGAGAGAGGAAGGGTCAAGAGGAAAATGGACGGTCAAAAGGAGATTGAGGCTGTTAGGGCATGCCCTTCTTGTCTCTCTTCTCATGTCCATGCTCTGGACATTAGCCTTAGGCTCGTACAGTCACTTTCCCACTGTGCTCTACTTCTTACACTCTACCTACCTTTGGCACACATGACAGAGTTTAATCATCTGTCTTAAGCTATATATGGTGAGCGGCTCTTAGAGAGTGTGTTTCCCATTTTCGCGGTGTTTAATAGCTTTTGAAGCACTTCCACATCTTTCCCCTCTTTCATCTTTACAACCCTGTGAGATAGGCAGGGTAGGTGGTGGGGTTCTTATTGTTCTTGTTCAGTCGCGTCTGACCCTTCATGACCCTGTGGCCCATACTGTCCATGGGGCTTTCTTGGTAAAGATACTGGAGTCGTTTGCCATTTCCTTCTCCAGTGGATTAAGGCAAAAAGATGTTAAGTGACTTGCCCAGGGTCACATAGCTAGCTATGGGCACGTGTCTGAGGCTGGATTTGAACTCAGGTTTTCCTGACTCCAGGCCCAGCACTCTATCCACTGCACCACCTCAATGTTTCCAGGGTAGGTGTTACACATCCCATTTTATAGATGAGGAAAACGAAATTAGTGGACTTTGTTCAAGGCCGGACAAGGAGCTTGTGGCAGTGGTAGGACTAAAATTAGGTCTCAACATCTAGCCAGATGTTTTTTTTCTGCTACGTGGCGCTGCTCAGTGGCTGAGCTGAGTGTGCTAAATGACTCTAAATTTAATGGGAGGCAACAGATATGAACCAACCTCTAGGCTGGTAGCCTACTGCCTTCAGTTAACTGCCTGAGAAATTGTCCTGAAACAGTGTGAAGGTGACAGGCCCCATCCAGTATCACTAATCAGACTGTGATCTTCCTGACGTAGCATATCCATTTTGCTCAGTACAGTTTCCTCGTCTTGACCTGCTCGTGCAACTTGGCAAGCAAAGGGGTAGAGGGTGGGGGCAGTGATGGATTCATGAAGAGTGGCCCTAATGACCTGAGAGCTGCATGTTGTCAACTCTCTTCCTTTCCCATTCCATCTCTTCATTTCCTTTCCCTTTCTCATCTCACCTCACCCTTGACTAGTACAGAAGGTACCTGGCAGCAACTGCCTGACACCCTGGAGTATTCTAGGGCAACGTGCCCATACCCTTACAAGGACAGTACAGAGCCCTCCCTGCTTCCACAGCACAACTAATACAGCTGATTAGCAGCCACTTCAGAAAAGGCTCAGCTTGGTCCGGGAATGGGCTTTGAGAATGCTGGGGGAGGGAACAGGGATTAAACATCTGAGTAAGAATGGAGGTTGGAGGCACCCAGTCCAAGTTGCATGGTGGGCTGGCTCTCGCTTTTGCCAGGAAGCCCCGGCAATAATGTTATTGTGTCTGCCTGAGGACTGAGGGTTTGGCTTTTACCATCTCAGAAAAGGCCTCAAGGTCATTGTCAAATCCAGCATTCTGAGATGGTGCCTGAGGTGGGAAGGGGGGGAGGGGGAGGAGAAAATAAAGAGAAAGAGGAATTTGTGTTGGCCCATCCTAGTTAAGATCTAAGGTGCTGCAACGGGACAGAACAAAAAGGTATCATCTGTTATTACCTCGGAGGCATTCCAGACGATCTCCTTGGCCGGCAGTGACCTTCACAATGCTCCGAGGCACTACCCCCAGGATCCTTCCCTGTAGCCTGGGTCCCACTCTCAGGACACGCACACTCATGGACCGCTGACAATGGTTAGT